AGATTGTTTCAGTTTCCTCCATTCTCAGTCTCTCAAATTTGGAAGAGAGTAATCTGAGCTTGGTTCTTTTGACACTATCTGATCCCTCACAATGTAGCTGAAGAATTTCCCAAGCATCCTTTGCAGAAGTGCATACAGAGATTAATTTAAACATTGTTAAATCTACTGAATTAAAAATTGCATTTAACGCCTTTGAGTTTTGGTTAGCATTTGATAGATCGTCTGTGTCCACCGTAATTCTGGAGTTGGAAAAACATCTCCGTCCACATCTGTGATAGTTGGTGGCTTCCATCCAGTGAGAATAGATCTCCACGCTCTCTCATCAATGGCTTTGATGTACGCCCTCATCTTGACTTTCCAGTAGGTGTAGTTCGTGCCATCAAGTACAGGAGGTCGCATAGAAGCAGTCATCTGAGTATCCATCACGAATTCGTTTCTGTAAAAAAATAGGAACAAACACTTAGTATACGTCAAGTGTTGGCTCTTGATGCCAATTGAAAGAATTTATGGTCCCGAATTCGTATTATACAGAGATGTTATCTAAAATGTTATGACACTTGAGACAACATGCAGCGGAAATATAAAGATTAAAAGACAATGCTCAGAATTAAAAATGTTCACAAGTAAAGACTTGTGAACTTGCCCTTTACAGGACGGAAAAATATATTAAAAACAGTATTCTAAGAATACAAACAGAAGAGTGCGAAAACTTCTTCCTTATGAATGAATCTTTTTCAAGATCACTCTTACAACCAAATCTAGATACTAAAAGAAAAATATTAAAAATTCTAGATTTCAAAGAATGTACTCATAAAGAGTACGTACAACAGATCCTAGAAAACACACTAAAATTCTCGAGATTAAAACTTCAGCTCTATTTTTGTTTCCTCGAAATCTATGAAATCTTGAGTCTTGAGTTTGGTATTTATAGACTTGCCAAGCTTCCACTTCTCAGCCCATGATCTGCAAGAAAACCAACCACAAGAGCACTCAAGATAATGGGTTAGTGGGTTAGTTAGGAAGTTAAGATAAATTCCATAATTAAATCCACTAAGCACTACTTAACCCTACTTAGCCCACTAACTAAGATTTAGTTTAGAAGTTAAGAAAAGTTAAAAACACATTGTGAAATTAATTCACGTGTTTCATTTATAATTATAGTCTAGTTTCTTTTTAATATAACTTTATCATAAAATTAATAAATTTAATTCCTAACATACGTACGAATCAAATCGTAAATCGTAAAATATTTGAACCGTTTAAGGTCAAGTCCTTTCAATTCGTAAACATTATTCAAAGGTTTGAATCGATTAAGCTCAATTATTGACAATAACGTCTTGATCGAATTAACTATTATTAATCAAAGTGTAATGTATTTTTAATTCAATTTTATCAAAAAAGAAAAATAAAAAACAAATTCCTAAAATACGTAAGAATCAAATCATAAGATTTACTTAAATTGTAAGATTTGAATCAATTAAGCACATATCCTTTAAATTTGTAAATTTTATTCAAAGATTTGAATCGATTAAGTTCAACCATTGACAATAACGTATTAATTGAGTTAACTATTTATTATCAAACACTAATATCTTTTTAATTAAATTTTAACAAAAAGATAAAAATAAATTTAATTTACAAAAATCGTAAGAATCAAATTGTCAATCGTAATATTTAATCTAACCGTAATATTTGAATCGATTAAAACTTAGAAGTTAACGATTTGATTCTTACAATTTTTTTGAATTCACTTCTATTATTTTGTCTATGATTAAATTCAAAAAAAAAATACTAGACGCAACTACAGCAGAGAGGCGATGGCAGCATTCAGAGCCATGGAGTTCGCTCGCGATCATGATATGCATCGAATTGTTTTAGAAAGCGATTCCAGCACCATTGTCGCAGCTATCCAAGGTGAAGGAGGGTCTTTTTTCAGCTTTGGTCACCTCATCGACGATATCAAAAGACTCTCATCCGTATTTGAAGACTTCAAAGTTTGCCATGTCAAAAGGGAAGGTAACCGTGCTGCCCACGAAATCGCAAAATTGTCCTTAAGGTCGACTTTTACGGCTGATGTTCTCCCAGATTTCATATCTAATATTGTAAAAATCTTACGATTTATGATTCGATTCAAACTTCATATTCTTTTGAAATTCATTTTTTAAATTACACGAGTTGAAATGGTAATGTTGTTGGGACATGTGGCGTGATTCTAGAGGCTCACGCTAGAAGGTCATAATATATATATATATATATATATATATATATATATATATATATATATATATATATATATAGACACACACACGTGAATGGTTACTCGATCCATAGTTTCAGCAAGGAAAATCCACAAAACAAAAAAAAAAAAAAAAAAAATATAGAAACAGTTTATGACGAAATGAAACTTATAAGAAAGCTGAAAAATTGACATATAGTATTTTTGTTTAATATAGTTTCCAATTTATGACGAAATGCAATTTATTGCTTTAGGTGCATGCTACAATATGCCTTTAGTTTTTGTATCGTTCACGAAGTTTCTGACGAATAAAACATGCAAGAACTTAAGGGCTCAGTTATTATGATCCATATACATATATGCTAGAAAAATAGGGTGCAATATAACAATATTATTGCCATAAATTGAGAACCGACTAAGTTGTTTGATGCATTTCAAAATGGAAAAGAAACTGAGAAATCGAACAATCAAAACGTAGCATCAACAGGTATAATCTTTAATTAGATACTACAATCAAAATTAAAGATCGTTCACCTACACTCGAGAACACATGAAACTACAAAACCCTAATTTACGATTACTGAATTACAATCATCAATCACTTCATCCGATCCATCTACAAATAGTACATGCATTCAACCACAGCAAAATCTAATGTTTAGAAAATAACACAAAAAATGAAGGGTAAAGTACACTTTATCCCCTCGTACTAAGCCCTATGTAACACTAAACCCTCATACTAAGACAAAATACACTTACCTCCTCAATTTAATAGTCAATCTATTTGACTCTTAGCAGTGTTAATAGTAAAATAAAGTTAATATATTTCTAATAATCATTACTAAATGATACATTTTATTTATTTAAAAAATATTACATGTATTATGAATAAATTAAATAAATATTTACGATAGTAACTGTTTTAATTTTTGGATTAGAAATAATTTACTCGTTAAATATTTAAATTAAAAAGTAATATTTAGATAGTATAATTTTTCATATATTGATGAAATTATTTAATTCATCAAACATGTAAATTATCAAATTTCCTACAGTTAACCTTAAATGTGAAAGACAAGTTAAATGAAATTTGATGTCACAAATAAATACAATAAAATATTAACATGTGTCGTTAAACAAATATTACTATAGAAATATAGTTTTTAATATAAATATATAATGAGTAAACATTATTAATCCAATATTTGAAAAAAATATACTTATTAAATATTTATTTTAATATATTTATCCATAGTGCAAAAATATTAAAAATAAAATAAAAAAATGAGGTATCATTTCTCATGAGTTATTAAAAAGTATATCGGATTTGATGAAGAAAATATAATTTTATTGTTACGAATAACACTGTTATTAATTTATAAAATAGGTTAACCGTTAAGTTGAGGGAGTAAGTGTATTTTTCAAAGTACGAGGTGGTTAGTGTTACCTAAGATATAGTACAGGGGTAAGTGTTACCTAGGGTATAGTACATGGGGTATTAACACAGTATATTACTACAATAAAATCACTATATTACATAATAAATTATTGTATAATACAATAATATTATTATGTTGACCGGTCAATAAAATAAAAAAAGCCTAAAAAAATAAAATTGTTGTTGTTGACAGTAATATTACTCTATATTGTCAACCACAGTAATTTGTCAACCTCACTAATATTACAATAGTAGACAATATTAATATTACATTGATCGGTCAACAAATCAAACAAAAAAAATGAAATCAGTCAAAAAAGAAATATTGATTTGGTTGACTGTAATATTATTTTGTTTACAGTAATTTTACCGTGAACCATAGTAATATTACAATAGTTGACCATTATTATTACGTTGACCGGTCAACAAATGAAATAAAATGAAAAAGCAAAAAAGTAAATAAATAATAATACTAATGTTGTTGACAATAATATTATTGTGATTATAATAATTTTACTGTCACAATATATAGCAGTAGTAATATTATATGTTGACCGATCAACAAATAAAATCAAAAAAAAAGGCCAAAAAAAAAATAATATTGATCTGGGACATTAATATTATTGTGTTTACAATAATTTTACTGTTAACCACAATAATGTAATTATCAATGGTAAGCAACGTTTGTTTCAGAAAACAAAAAGTCAACGTCATCAAAGACTCCGCGAGTCAGCGACGGTGGAAAAAAAAAGCATAGCGGAAGAAAAAAAAAAAGGTCAGCGCCGAAAACCAGTGGCGGAGAAAAAGTTCAGAAAAAAAAGTTTGAAAAGAAAATGTCAAAATTAATGAAATTTGAGTTAAATTAGAGGTACAGTTAAGAGTTGAATTTAAAGGGTTCGATAATTTTATCATAAATATTAAGTTTGCCTTTACTTATATATACATTAAAAGAATTGATTTATTTACGAATCATATATGACACCCGGACTTAAAATAATAAATGAAGTTTGTCAGAAACTTATGCATAAAAATCCCTATATTTTATATAATTGAGAGATATATAATTTTGACGTGAAATACATTACAAAACACTAATTGAAATTTGAAATAGGAAAATTAGATTATCTTTTTCACTTGCATATTCAGTTCTGAAGAAAATCACATTTCCATCTACAATTTGATTCTAACGACATGGTAATATTTCTTTTCACAAAAGTTAATTTCCTACATTTTTTCACAATCATTTGTAATATTTGTATATTTACATAATTACATCCATACCCACATTCTTTTTTAGGGACAAATTCGTAAATTTCAGCATAATAAACATCACGCGTGGTGCTTACCACTTGGTTAATTAATCACAAACCCACCATCAAAATTCAACCTTTTTAGATCCACAATTACTAAATTAATTAAAAACCCCTATTCAATAATTACCAAAAAACTTTCCACTCTCTCCTCCTCTACATATATTCACTCACTCATCAAAACACCATCACACTAATAAACAATGACAGCCACCACCACCACCACCTTCACCGCCAGGACGAAGGTCCGGCCGCCGGCGGGCTGCGCGAAACTCGACGGCGTCGCCATGTGGCTCATCAACGGCTTGACCGGGGCATTTTTCGCGTCATTAGAACGATGCTCTTGCATTCGCATTTCCACTTACGAAGACGATTTTGGAGATGACGGCGGCGATAACTTGCCGTTGATTTTCAGCGATGGAAATTACGGAGGCGACGATCGCGGCGGCGACGGAGGTGTGAGAAGAAGAAGATTGGGCAAAGGTAAAAAAGCTAAAGCCTTTGCTGAGTATTAATTGTTCTTGATGTATAGTAAAATTAAATTAAATATTCTCAAATTGTAAGATGGAATTAATATTTTTCCATTTTTGCCCCTCCTTTTTTTGTTGTTTGTGAAGACGAACTATATATGATGGTTGTATGAATATATGATTGAATATTTGCAAGCTAATTACAGTTTTTAATTCCACTTGTTTATTTCTGTGAATTAGATTAAATAAATACATATTTCGATATGATCGATCCAATTTATCCCATTTTTATTTTTTCTATTTTAGCTTAAAATTCAATTGTTTTTTCTTATAGTTAGTTTAGATCACATTTCATTGTATTTAGTCTAATAAAATACATAGGAAGGTGGTAAAATACACTTGGATAAAAAGATCTCTATGATGTGAAGCATATATATATTTTTTCCTGTATTAAAATTTCTCAGCAGTCTTGAGGTTGAGTCCCTTTATGCGAAACCATGTAATTTTTGGTTTCGTCTTTATTTCATTTTTATTCTTTTCCGAAAAACAAATTCGTGTTTGTTAAGCTTTTAAACAGATTCGCATAACAACTTCAGCAAATTTCTCTCTACTCTACATATGATTTGACTGCTGCAGCACAAATATCTGACCGTATATATTAAAAGTTGTTTTCACTAAAAAAACAATCAAACATCACTTTATTTTTAATTTTTTTCTTTCTAAAATACCCTTTTTAAACACTGTTAAACACGATTTGACTGCTACTACAGTTTATTTTATTTTTCTCAAAACACATTTCCCCAAAATTCCGAAAAGAATCCAAATATTGCCCGGATGTGGTTTTCTAAAATTTCCATTATGTATATATATATATATATATATATATATATATATATATATATATATATATATATATATATATATATATATGTCTTTATTTTCGTTCCTTAGTATATTCTATCTTACTAGAATTTCTAACTAGGACCTAGAAAATTAGGGGTGTGCACGGGTCGGTACGGCTCGTTTTTTCCAATAAACCAAACACGTACCGATAATATCGGTTTTTCGGTTTTTAAAAACCGAATATGTCGGTTTTTTTCGGTTCGGTGTTAATCAGTTTTTCGGTTTTCGGTTAACGGTATCGGTATAATTCGGTTTATTTTCGGTTTCGATTTCGTCTATTTGTTCGAACCGGTTCGGCATAAAACCGATATTTTTGGACTTTCATTATATTTATTAGAGAAAATTAACAAATAACAACCGAAAATTAACTAATAAAAAACATGTCACAATCCAAAATTAATTACTAGAAAACATGTCACATGGAGGCGCTCGAAAGATAGAGGCACGTTAGTGTAAGTATTTATACTATATATTAAAAAAGACATTATTTTGTATAAATCGGTTCGGTTCGGGAAATCGGTTCGGTAATTTTTTTATTCTCCATGCACAAACCGATATTTTCGGTTAAAAAATTAACCGTATATGTGGTTTTAAGTCGGGACGGTATATATCGGCTCGGTTTTTTCGGTTTCTCGGTTTTTTTCTCACCCCTAAAGAAAATCATTGAAGGCTATTTTCGATTACATATATGTGGTATGAATTTGGATTATAGTGGACTTTTATTAAGTATACATAATTATTTAAGCCTTGTTTGACTACTACTATTCAATTCTAGTTTGAATCTAAATCTTGAAATTGGTGAATCTGCCCAATCTCCATCACTCGGTATCGTGATTTATCATGATAATAATTCATTATTTTTTTTTGTTCATTATATTTGAAAATATCAACCCCACAAAAAAGAAAGTTGCTTTTTTTTTTTTTAACAAGAAACTATTATTAATCAGGACAGCTCAAAAGAGAATAAACATATCTCTGAAATTCAATCTCATTATTGACCTACTTTAATTTTATATGTTTTACTCAATGATGTCTCACAATTTGCACAAAAGTTATAAATTAGTAAATAAAATGTAATAAACTTGCTTTTGGCCATATTGAAAAAGCACTTTAAACATTAAGAATGATGTTGTCCTTAGAGTAATAATTATAGTATTTAGATACTATGCACGATTATTTATATTGAGTGAGAGCTAATCGTATATAGTACATAATTACACACACTCAATGCAGCGGTGAGTCCAGGATTTTGGTACAAGGTGGGCTTTAATTTTTGGGAGTTCGGGGGCAGCGCCCCCGAGATTGTTTTTAGGAATTTTTTTTAAAATAGTAAAAGAAGAAACGAAAAAAAACAACAAATTTTAGAGTTTTTTTTGCATTAATTTGGATTTTGGATGGGTTAATTAATAAAATTAGGGACTTTATTTGCATTAATTTGGACTTTGGGTGGGCCAATTAATAAAAAAATGGGGCTTCTTTTGCATTAATTAAAATTTTGGTTGAACTAAATAGATATATAATATAACGTAGGGGGCAAACTGTAAACTGAGGGTAGGCTTGAGACACCTAAGGGTGGATTCGCCCCTCATGTCCATATGTGTACGTGTGTGTAATGAGTGGTTATTTAATCTCATCAACTGTTATGTGGTATTTGCAAATGCTTTTAGAAATAAATAATGCACTTTTTTAGCACATAATTTGTTTTTAGGTGTTGCAGAATAAGTTTTTGTTTTTGCTTCTCTTATAATAAGTTGTTTTAGAGGGTGTTTGGCTAAGCTTATTTTAAACAGCTGTAAGCTCCTACGTCTGATAAGATGTTTTAAGAGCTGATAGGCTGTTATGTCTTATTTTTAAGATTTATTTTTAGAGTGTTTGGATAATGAACTTATTTCCTATTTTTACTCATAATAAGATCTTAAATAAAAAGGTGGGGTAGATGTACTTATTTAAAAAGATCTTATTTGCTCTCCAACAGCTTATTTTAAAAAAAAATAAGATCTTTTTATAAAAAATTACCAAACACTTTGGAAGAGCTTATAACCTCTAAAACATCTTATAAGCTCCTTTTAACATCTTATAAGCTTAGCCAAACACCCTCTTAATCTATAATTTTAAAAGCACCCATATACCTGTTTTTTCTATTTTAGTTGATTTTCCAGCTAATTTGCAAAAATCTCAAACTTTTAGAAATAAACACTTAATATCAACTTAACTCACAATCACTGACTTCTATTTTTAAATAAGCTTTTGCAAACACCACCTTAGTAATCAGCTGGTGTAAGTAATCATGAATAACATCTAACTTCCCCTAATAATTATACTATTCCCTATTATGTGACATTTAAATTATTTTAAAAAGAAAACAGTAAATGTATTATTTTTCACCAAAGTTTGAAGGGTAAAATGGTCCGAGATAAAGAAGGTGGGAAAATAAGGTAAAAGAAACTGTCCAAAATGAAAGATGAACTCAACAGAGCATATGCAAACTATGTCTCATAATTGAGGTGAAAGGAACAATGCGCAAATCAGCATATGTGATGTTTCTATTCATTTGGAAACAGAGATAAAGACATCAAACGTAGATCATAATCATCAATATGTAAACAGGCCGGCGTAATCATGAATATAATTTATTCTTTTGAATTTTTGTATATATATATATATATATATATATATATATATATATATATATACAAAAATATATATATATTAGTTTTATTGATGGTCGCTTCTTAGTATTATACATGCTTTTATGTGAAGAAAAAGAAAGTCAACGCAGATGTTGACCGTCAACATCGGTGAATGGGCTCAAACGATCAAGGCAGTGAAATTGGAGCGAAATTAAGTTTTGAGGGATGATATTAGAGTAAAACTAGAATTTGGGGATAAAATTGAAGTAAAATTAAAATTTAAAAGATGAATGTTTATGTATATAATCTTCAATTGTAGTAAGAACAATTCGATAAAAGAAAACAAAGGAAAAAGGAAAATGGTGACACAAAATGGTGACACCCTTTCACTACTTTATTTGATATAGTTAGATCTAATTAATACTTGCACCTTTAATTATGAACACACCCAAATTTTGTAATTATGAATTGAGGCAACCCTAAACATTTTTTAATTCCAATTTTACATTTACTATTTTAATGGGAACTTGATGAGTCGATCCACCTTGTATGAACATGCCTGAGAAAACCCCTGTAGGGCTTCTATGATCTTAGGAGCACTCGCCACCATAGCCTAAACGAAAGTCAAAAGTTTCTAGCTCATAGTTCAATTGGACATGTAGATTATATTCGTATTGGTTTATCATGTGGAGCTATAGAAGGAATTCAATCTTTAATAACGACTATCTTTATTTATGCACCAATGACAATATATGCATTCGCCATAGCTTTGGCATTACGGCAAACCCGTGTCAAATGTATAGCAGATTTGGGCGTTCTAGCCGAAACGAATCCTATTTTGGCTATTACCTTCTCCATTACTATGTTCTCATACTCTTTTCTCATTGCAACTTAAAAAACGAAGGAATATCTCATCAGAATGTTCAACGAAAATCCTAACCCCGCATTGAAAGAGCTCAAGCGCTGCGAAGATAGAGTTTTAGGCTACTGATATACCTAATTGGGCCGATCCAATGGGCCCCCAATTTATCTAATAATGGGGTCCAATACACGAAAGCCCAAACACCTTCAAAATAAGGTTTGGGCCCAACAAAGTAAACCTAACCCAATCAACACATATAAATAGAGGTTTTTACTCATTTGTTAAGGTACGTTCTATTATTCACAAGTAATCTATAGTTTTATTCTATCTACTATCTCCACGATTCGTACATCTGACTTGAGCGTCGGAGGGGTTTCCGTCGGATCAACCCCCGGCTTAGTTCACGTGTGCTCATTTCGCAGGGACCTCAGGATCATTAATTTGCTAAGCTACTGATCCACTTTGCTCTCCTAACTCGTTTTCTACACTACCTCAGGTGATCTAAGTAATTAGCATCATCAGCCACCGCTTTCAAACCCTAGTAGATATGGAAGTCGTATCACCTGAACTATTTCCTTTGAATGGTCACCCAAAACCCTAGCCATGCGTTGGAAGATTTCTTTGTTGCACCTCCAAGATTTCTTTTCCGTAGTGTTAGTTTCAAACATTTGTACTCCATTAAAATATAGTCGACTACATGTAGCTATAGCCATCTAATAAGATGATATTGCGCAATTTTCTATCGAAATTTGTATAGATGGTTGTTGTTGTTGTTGTTGTTGTTGTTGTTGTTGTTGTTGTTGTTGTTGTTGTTGTTGATGTTGTTGTTGTTGTTG